CACATTTGGTAATTATCACAATATTTCAAATAATAGTATTTCATTATTATTATATTTGTTAGAGTGACTGGTGATCAGTGATCTTCTATGTTACTACTGTAATTGTTTTGTGGAGCCATGAACCCCACACATGTAAGCAGCAAACACTCCATAAGCTTGTGTGTGCTCTGACTGCCCCGTGGCCTGGCCCTTACCCGTCTCCCTCCCTCTCATAGGGCCTCCCTATTCCCTGAGACACGACATTGAAATGAGGCCAGTTAATAACCCTACAATGGCCTCTAAGTGTCCAAGGGAAGGGAGGAGTCAGTTGGTGGGACAAACTTCATTGTCTTATTTTAAGAAACTGTCATGGCCACCCCTACCTTCAGCTCCTACCACCCTGATCAGAGTCACCAACACTGAGGCAAGACCCTCTACCAGCAAAAAGACTACAACTCACTAAGAGCTCAGATGATGGTTAGTATTTTTTAGCAATTAAATATTTTTTAATTAGGGTATGCATTTTTTAGACATAATGCCATTCATACTTAATAGATTACAATATAGTGTAAACATTACTTTTATACACACTGAGAAACCAAAAAATTCATTTGACTCATACTTTATTGAAATATTCCCTTTATTGTACTGGTCAAGAAGTGAACTGGCAATATCTCCAAAGTAAGCCTCTACTCTGTTAATGTCATTAGACCTAAACTTTGCAGTGTGAGAAAAAATACATACAAATATAAAATCATCCTGTAATCTTCTATTTGAATTGGACATGTAAGTATAAGCTTCTGATTTTACATACATATATATATATTTTTTTTACATTTTCCTAGCTCTGTCCATCCAAAATACTTTGAAACAAGAACAACCAATAACAATGAGTATGCCTAGCATCCACATTCTCATTTATAAACATCATTTCCCAATAAAAAGAACCAGAGCTACTCGGCAAAATGGCTGAGTCCTTGTCTGTTACAAGGTAAGTACAAGGAACCCTGAGAGGTCTCATCCCAGAAACAAGGAAGCTTTCAAAGCTGAATGGGGTACTGTCTAAAGGACACAGAAGGCAATCTGAAGAGCCCCCATGGGCATAAACTGGGACAGTTTAAGTACCAAAAAGATTCGACTGCAATGGACTGGAATACATAATGTGTTTCTTGAGCTGAGTTGATAATGATGCAAAATAAAACAAAAAACAAATGCCAAAAAAAAACGCTTTCTGGTTACCTTTGGAAATTGCTAGGGTCCCAATCCATTACCCTGAAAAGCAGTAAATAAAAGGAAAAAGTCAAGCACTTATTCTGACTTTCCTTTAAGAATTGATGATCAGGTAACCTGAAGAGTAACAATGAAGAGCCCTTCCTTTAGATGAATCCCAGCTAATAAATGCAGAGTCAGGATGATAAAATCAGAGAGCTGCCATTTTGTATCCCCTAATTTAATAGTGAATCTGGGAATTCATCAATGAATATTAAAATCTTAGCCAAATTTTATTGTGTAATATGTAATGTAAGAATAGAACTGAAACCACAGAAATCCCTTAATCAGGCTTAACATCACAAGAACTAGAGAACTAGTATCACACACCATGACAGCTAGTACATAGCTTGCCTCAAACAACGGAACTAAATCTAATCAGCTCTATCACAGTTCTCAGAGCACAGGAGAAACTGGGGATAGAAGTGACAGGACACCCACAGGAAACGATGGGCCAAATCCTCATGTAGGATAAAAAAGACTGTTCTCCACAATTGGTGGCATATAAAAGAAAAGAGTCTGAAACAGTAAAAGTACCTTAGAGACAAGGCAGTCAGATGCCATATCAGGAGTTACTGAGGATGCTTTTTCAATGAAACCAGCTTAAAGAGGCATCTTTGAGATAATCAGAGAAATATGAATACAATGGATACTAGAATTCATTAAAAATTGGCTGTTTGGTTATTATAGATATAACACTGTTAGGCACTTGCATTGAAATGTCAGTATTACCTACACATGCATGCAAATGTTTGCAAGTGAAATGACTTGATGTCTGGATTTCCTTTAAGATACTTCAACAAGGACTTAGGATTTAGATAGAAAAAGTACAGAATTCAATGAAACAACAATGAGAAAAATACCAATAATTGTTTAACCTGGGTGATTGGTACATGGTGGTTTATATACTATTCACTTTCATTGTATCCATTTGAAATTCTCACTGACACAAATTTTGTTTAAGCAGTAAAGCAGGCGGTCACACTGGGAAGAGCACAGTAACTTTTGGTGATGGCATTTCTAGTGACAGTATATGTGACGTCTTAGAGAAAACTTTCAGGCGCCTCCCGACACACCTCCAGGGAAGGAGGAAGTCTTGAGGACAAAGACACGTGCACTGGAGAACATTTCCATGAATGTGATCCAGGAAAAAATGGGAGAATGGGAAAGAATGGGAGACTTCTGGCTTAAACCTAACAGAGGAAAGGGAGGCATTTCCCCTTTTCTCAGAAATCTCCTGAGGACAACACAAAGAACAAGAAACATGAAGACAAACTCCACCACAAAAGGAAAAGCCTTAAAATCCCTCAGTCAAAGGCACAGAGGAAAAGTCTCACAGAAATAGAGAAATACAAACATGACTGTTAGGAAAACTCAGAGATCAGGGGCCCTCACTGGCAGGCCTCACAAGGACCCAGTGAAGAGCAATCTCACAGGTGCACCCACCCCAAGCAACAGGGCCATCATCAGGGAGCACCCAACAAAGCTACCCCTGAGCTCTACCCCGCCAGGCACTGTGAGTGACTCGTGGAACTCCTGCCACGTCAGTGTACCGACACTTCCACGGGTACAGATCCAAGAATCCCTTGTCGGCAATAATCAGAACTGGGCGTGTGAGCTGGGGCAGGAGCCTGTTTGTCATGACGTTTTAAGAAAGGGAAATGAAAGATACTGTGCAGGCAGGATCGAGTTAGGAATGAGAGATGAGGTCTATTGCCAGCATTTTGCTGGTGAAGCAGAGGGAGCTCAGTGTGAGGCCTGGGCCACTCCGCAGCGATCTCTGTGGGGGTGGCTGAGTCGTGATTGAAAGAATTAGTCACGTGGCCCTGTGTCACGAGAGAATCCTTGCTAGCCTGGATATGGCCCTGGCCCCTCTTCCCAGACTACTTTCTGCAATGGCAGGTCTAGAAGGATTTCACTTCTTTCAAAGATGAGCACTAGTCAGAAGGAACCACTCCTGGACCCAGTAAAGTTACTTTAATTAAAAAACTCAGGGAAATAGAAGAATAAGAGGCACGTAGGAATGCTCAACAGAAAAGGTCACAGTACAATATTACCAAACAATCTAATGAAATAAACACCATAAGAAAATAACAGAATGAAGGGACCACATTGTGAAACAATGAAAGATTAAAACATTAGCTTGTAGAGCTCAGAAAGGAGCAGAAAAAATAAATAAAGCCACAGAAGAAATGAAGTCCAAGTTGAGAGCAGTACAAGGAGGAAAAGGCGTCCCTGAGTGCACAACGATATGCACAGGTGAGGGGGAGTAAAGCAATCCACTGAGAAAGAGCAACCATAAATGTTAAAGGAGAACCACAGGAAAACAGATGTGGGAGACAAAGCAGATACAACATCAGTGTAATTGTATAAGAGGGAACGAGTATAACTGCAAAAGAGAATTGTGTTTTATATATGTGTTTATAAATAAAATATTTCATATACAAAACAGACACACCCATCATGCATGACCCAGGGATGCATAGAAATGCATCCTAGTGAAGTTTATAGAAGGATACAAAAGGAACTGGGAACAGCCCTGGCCTCCACATCAGGAGGTGGGTGGCTAGGGAGTGTCCTAGAACATCTGCTTGGTCACTGTTTAAATGTGTAAACAACTGTGTAAGTAACAACATTCTATATAGACAGGCGTTGTACCTCCCCTGCATTTGGAATGTTTAAATACATAGTTTATTAAGATTTCAGTGTTAGCTATCAGTTTATCTGATTATTAAAGAAACAATAGGATTTAAATGAGTCACCATGAGCATGTAATTAGAAACTGCAAAGATAAAACACTATACAGGACAAATAATCTGGTTTCTTAGCAAAGAAATTACAAGGAAAAAACTTAAGGGAGATTTAATGACATAAAATATCGAAGGATATGTTATTTAAAACACATATCACTCAAAAACAACATATATGGAGTTACATCGATCCTGATTTGGATAATCAATATATAAAAAATATATAACAAACAGGTTTACTGGAAGACTGAAGAGTCATTTGCTGATGTTAGTAAATATATAAACATTGAAGTCATAAAAACAGCATTTTGGTTTTGGTTATATTCTTTAAAAGATTCACATATATAAGTGTAGAATTATATACTAAAGAAATTATAAAATCTCTGCAATTTGCTTTAAAATAATTCAATACTGGTGGGGAATTAGGTTGACGAGTGAGAGAAACGGAGGGTCATTTATCTTTATAAATGGCATGATGGGCATATTGGTACCCATTACATTGTTATTCTAATTCTCCATCTTTGTGACTAACACATAAAGGAGAAAATGTTTGTAATTAATGGGGAAAATGAAAATGTTTCTGTTAAGGCACACAAAATAGATTATTTTGATCTTCAGAATCTCTGCTGGGAGAAACATCAGGTGCAGAGAAGGACACTTACATTCTGACGGATTAAGCACAACACGAAGAACCTTTGTTTGAGACAGTGACTAACAACTAGCTCAATGAGCTGAGAAAAGCCATCCCATTCTGCCATGAAGTCAAAGCTGGAAGGCAGGAGAAATTTTCCCTGACAATGGGAAGCAAAAATGCAATCCTCACATTTCATAATATTCTAATAATCCAGAGGTGATCTCACCGATTGTAAAGCCCAACCCTTTCCACTCTGCAAGCTCACTTTTCAGGACTGAGCCCAGCCCACGGTCACGGTATATAACTACTCCTGGGAAGCTCGTCTCACATCTGCTCCTCTCAGCTCTCCCCTCCAGGCCTCAACTCCTTCTGCCTGCCTACCTTCAGGAACCATGACTACCAGGTCCACCATGAGTAGCCAAAGCAGAAGCCAACGCGGCTTCAGTGCCAGCTCAGCCACAGTACCCGGGGTCTGCCGCTCCGGCTTCAGCAGCATGTCCGTATCCCGATCCAGGGGCAGCGGTGGCCTCGGTGGAGCGTGCGGGGGAGCTGGCTTTGGGAGCCGCAGCCTCTACAGCCTGGGGGGTTCCAGGAGGATCTCCACTGGTGTGGGCAGCTGTGCCATTAGTGGCGGATATGGTGGCAGAGCTGCAGGAGGCTATGGCTTTGCAGGTGGAGTCGGGAGTGGATACGGTTTCGGCAGTGGAGCTGGTGGTGGCTTTGGGCTTGGTGGTGGCGCTGGCTTTGCTGGAGGGTATGGGGGCCCTGGCTTCCCTGTATGTCCCCCTGGAGGCATCCAAGAGGTCACCATCAACCAGAATCTCCTCACTCCTCTGAACCTGCAAATCGACCCCACCATCCAGCGGGTGAGGACTGAGGAGCGGGAGCAGATCAAGACCCTCAACAACAAGTTTGCCTCCTTCATCGACAAGGTGAGCCACAAGGACCTGCCCCCCACTGGGATCCTGGCTGCCCGTTCGGGAGAGCCACCGAATGTCCTATGTGGGAAGCTCAGGACAGAGGGGGAAGGGGACCAGGATGAGCTTTCCCCTGGGACATGCCACACTACGTCCATGCTGGCCACAGGCAGAAGGCGGTGGAATTCATTTCAGCCTGCTGAACCTCTGAATCGCCCTCATCCTGCCTAGGAAGAGTCCTCAGCTCGCATGACCCTGTGGTATATATAAGGGAAAGAGGGATTGGAAGGTGTGGGTTCTACCTTCTGGAGAATCTAAGAGATTAGAAAGAAAATTCCAGTATAAAACTGCACCAGGGATCTGGGCAAGAGGGAAAGAATGAAAGAAAAGGAGAAGGCAAGGATTTCTGGCAGCATTAGGAAAAACAACTTAGAAACATTAAGGATAGAAATACCAAATTTGTAGAACAGTGACCGTAAGAGAGCTTGCTTTGAGGACACTCATGCACTTAATGGGAAGTTGGTTTGCATCCAGTCATTAAGAGGACTGTAATTTAATCATTAGCATCTAAATATTTGACAACCCGTTAGCTTGGGTACTCTCTAAGAACACTTTGTGCAACATCACAGGGCAATACTCTTTTAACTAGATTTGTGATTGCACTTGTCAAGAGAAAGAGAAGAGTGTTGAAAGTCACACAGAAACTCTAAAACTGAGAAGGTAGACACCTCATAAGTTCACAGTGGAATTTCATCAGGGAGATCTTCGGGCTGAGAAGGAACCCAGTTTGAGGAACAGGCCAGCTGTCAGCTGAGCATCTCTACATGCTCTTGGCAGCACAGCACCATGGTGACCACTAAAGCCTGTTAGGAGACCTGACAACTCCCATGTCTTTCTTCCTTCCTGTGTCTGGCAAATAACCATGTTGCCGTCCTCCAGGTGCGGTTCCTGGAGCAGCAGAACAAGGTCCTGGACACCAAGTGGACCCTGCTGCAGGAGCAGGGCACCAAGACTGTGAGGCAGAACCTGGAGCCTCTGTTCGAGCAGTACATCAACGACCTCAGGAGACAGCTGGAGAACATCCTGAGGGAGCGAACCCACCTGGACTCGGAGCTGAGGAGCATGCAGGACGTGGTGGAGGACTACAAGAACAAGTGAGTTAAAGGAGAGAAATGGGCTCAGTTTCCCGAAGCACATACTCCAAGACTATTGGGAGACGAGCCCAGATGTGTATATAACCCCATAGTAATACACGTCCATAGAAAAGAAAATCACAATTATTGCCTAAATACAACCTTCCCTTGCCTGCCCCGCACCTAGGTGAATTTGAGAGAAAAGAAATGAACAATGTAGGGAGCACAAAAATCATCTTTTAAGCCTACAGACAGGAAGCTCCATCAGGATATATCCGTTGTGGAAAGTGGTGTCCCAGGCTGCCTTTTCTGTGTCATCTCCACCACTGGCTCAATTATGTCTTGTCCTTTCTAATTCTAGATATGAAGATGAAATCAACAAGCGCACAGCAGCAGAGAACGAATTTGTGACTCTGAAGAAGGTGAGCTGGTTGAGATCATGAGTAGATGCTTCCTTGCAGAAGCACAGAACGGTGGCTCCCTGCCCACATCTGAGGGGGAAATGGGTAGGGAGACTGACGGATGGGCAGACTGGCAGGGAGGGCTCAGCTGACTCCAACTTGTTGGCTTGTCCCCTAGGATGTGGATGCTGCCTACATGAATAAAGTTGAACTGCAAGCCAAGGTAGACTCTCTGACAGATGAGACCAACTTCTTGAGAGCCTTCTATGAAGCAGTAAGCATCTCCACCCCCTGCCTGTACTTACTCGAATGGGGCTGTGCAGAGGGTGGGAGCTCTTGGGGTTGGGTACATCTGTAAACATCCCAGGAAAAGGGGACCTGACCATCCTATATTCTGCAGGAACTGGCTCAGATGCAAACCCACATCTCAGACACATCCGTGGTCCTGTCCATGGACAACAACCGCAACCTGGACCTGGACAGCATCATCGCCGAGGTCAAGGCCCAGTACGAGGAGATCGCCCAGAGGAGCCGGGCTGAGGCTGAGTCCTGGTACCAGACCAAGGTGAGCAGTGTATTGGCAGCTGCCGAGGAAACCCGTGCCTTCTCCTGGCAGAACAGCAAAGCTCTAGATTACACTGAGGACGTCAACTGCAAGGGAGCTGAGGTCCCCTCACAGGATGTTTACCTGGCATTCCCACACAGTAGACATTTACAGCATTTGTCAGAGTCTAGGAAGTCAAGGAACTCATGTGCAGGAGGACAAGTACAACAGATACAGACCTAGTCATCATTGTTTTAGCTTCACTCTGATGCTGGCTCTCAGAAACACAGTGCCCAATATTGCCAGTCCCATACAAGGTAGATATTCTGTAGTGCTTTTAAGAGATGCTCTGTGATTCGTGTATAATATCTGATGAATTTGTAAAATACCTGGTGGGGAGGCCTCTAGATTCATGTACACTGAATGGCTGGTTCAGAAGTGCGATCACCATTAGCATGTGAAAGCCCATTTACACCACCTTCTCTCCCTCTGGGCTGCAGTATGAGGAGCTGCAGGTCACAGCTGGCAGACACGGGGATGACCTGCGCAACACCAAGCACGAGATTTCTGAGCTCAACCGCATGATCCAGAGGCTGAGATCCGAGATCGACCACGTCAAGAAACAGGTACAGTGGGGGCTGTGGAGATGAAAAGCATTGCTTCCTTGCTAGACCATCAGGAGGTCATCATCCATTATTTGGGAAATTCCTGGGAATGGCAGAAACAGCAGGGACAGGTGGACACACAGTCCCTGCTCTTAGCAAGTTCCCACAGGTGAGGAGAAATGAATCCCAATCCAGGAGTGTGATACAAATACATGAGAGGTCCAATCCCAGCTGCTCCGAGATGGCAAGTGTATACAGTAGGGGTCTTGACAAAGGGTTACATTACAATGGTTAATTTTGGAATAGAAGAAACAAGTTGGTAAAGCAAAGGGCAGGCAAGAAAATGAGTAATCCTCTTGCAAATGTGCTCAAGATTCAAGGTGGAAGGAGAGAGTGGAGAAATAGGACAATGATTCCTGCTGTCCAAGTGCTTGGTTCCTCTCTGTGATAGTAAAGACTTTGGCCACTAAGTTGTTGCCTTGATTATTGCGGGCTCTAGTGCGCCAACCTGCAGGCCGCCATTGCTGATGCTGAGCACCGTGGAGAGATGGCCCTCAAGGATGCCAAGAATAAGCTGGCTGAGCTGGAGGACGCCCTACAGAAGGCCAAGCAGGACATGGCCCGGCTGCTGAAGGACTACCAGGAGCTGATGAATGTCAAGCTGGCCCTGGACGTGGAGATCGCCACCTACAGGAAGCTGCTGGAGGGCGAGGAGTGCAGGTGGGTAACAACCTCCAGGATGCCCAGCCAATGAGCACAAGTTTAAGGCGCTCCTGTCGTGGCCATGAGTGCCACTCACAGAGAATCATTCAAGAGGCACTTCCCCGTGGATGAGCCTCACACCGGGTCTCCCCATGCCAGTCCAGCAGCGGCTCTCTGAGGTCTCACAGTCCCTGTGTTTCTCCTTCCTAGGCTGAATGGGGAAGGCATCGGACAAGTCAACATCTGTAAGTACCTTTGCTGGCCTCCGTGCCCCGCGCCTGAGCTCTTCTGACTGGTGTCAGGCTGGCAGAACGAGCTCATGGCGTCTCGTGTGTGTCTGTCTCCCTCCCCTCACAGCCGTGGTGCAGTCCACTGTCTCCAGTGGCTACGGCAGCGCCAGTGGCGCCGGCAGCGGCCTGGGTGTGGGCGGAGGCGTGGGCTACTCCTATGGCAGTGGTCCCAGCCTCAGAGGTGGCTTCAGTTCCGGCAGCGGCAGAGGCATCGGGGGTGGTCTGAGCTCCACTGGAGGCAGCAGCTCTACCATCAAGTATACCACTTCATCCTCCAGCAGGAAGAGCTACCAGCACTGAAGTCCTGCCATTGGCTCTCAGTCTCTTAGTCCCACATTGCGTTAGGCCGTCTGTTTTGTTGCAGTGCACTCCCCTCGGATTGATTCTTCTCTCACGCCTCTAACTTACCCTAGTCTGTAAGTTAGAAGTGAAGTGCTGAGTATCTCATTTCTCTCTCTATACCTGCTACATGTGAGCATCCATTACTCACCATCAGGTCCATGGTCAATGTCATGCAGACACTTAGACATCCTTTTGATGTGCCCTTCTTACCATCAGTGATATCATTCTGCCACGATTCTGGGATGAAGATGACCTTTGCTCCTCTTGAAAACTGAAACTCATTATGTATCATGCTACAGGATGCAGCCTCTTTCCTTGATTTCTCACTGTCCTGTCTGCCATAGCTGCACTCAGAAGCTCTCCTACAGAACAAATAAGTTGTTGTCTTCCTGTCATTGTCCCAAAATGGTATTGACACAACCCTGTCATGTACAGAATTATATCACTGCAATATTTCCTCTGCTGTCTCTGCTTTCTTGTGTTTTGTTGAATAAAGCAGATTTCCAACATAAAGATTCTGTGTTAGATTGTGTTGCTAATTATGTATTGGTTCTGAAAGTGTGTCATCCCACACACTGGTCCTCATCTTTGGGGAACCATCTGTCAGCTCCTCTGACAACTTACCCTGCCTGATAGCCAACTCTGTCAGTCAGAATCATGTGGTATGTGATTATCCCATGGGCGAGTGACTACCAACAACTAGTCTGCCTGCTGCCACTCAGGATTCTTTCTCAAAATAATCTTTTAAAAAGCATTAGGAAGGAAAGGGAAGATGGGGTCCTGGAAACTGGATCAGCATAATCCAATAACTAAGGGGTTTTGTTTCTCGAGCTCCAAAATTTGGTGGGTTGGTCCCCACGCCAATCTCTGCAACACCCTCAGAGACACCCAGCACCAGGGAAACACTGCACTAATACAGGACAGAGGCCAGTTGGTAGGAAGGGAAAATGCTTGGTTCCTCTCTGCAATAAGAAAGACTTTGCCAGTAAGTTGTTGCTTTGATATAGCATCTGAGATGTATGAAATTAATTGGTACAGAAATGGAATGTCCCCAGATGTTGGTGAATGGATTTAAAGCCACATAGTACTAATGAGTTGGAATGGATTCCTTTTGACCCCAAGAGACTTGGGTTCCACAGAAGAACTTCTCTTGATAAATGCTGGTTAAAAGTCATAGAAATGTCCACCTAAAAAAAGTGAATTTAACTATCTTTAAATTATATCACAATATCTTTGAAATAAAGTGAAATAGTCAAAAAAGTCAATAAAATGAATTAGTCAAACCTTCAAATTACATGTATTAGAGACTTTGTTTTGAAGTGCTATTGGCAAAAAAATAAGATTGAAATATAATCCATGTGGACAGATGACACTTTAAATTAGCATGGAGGTGGTTTCTGGCTGGAGAACATTCTCCTTTTCTGATAGGATATCCAAAAGCCATTTTCAGTGTAAATTTCTTTGCACATTTTGACAAATAAAAATAGATGTTGGAAGTTCATTCAAATCTTCCTATATATACATGTTTTTTGGACAGAAATGGACTTTCTACCTTTTATGCTTGTTTACACAAGCTTACTATAAAGTCTAGCTGATTAGACATTCCATACCAGGTCTTATCTGAATGCAAAAGACTGAAAAGCAAGGAAAAATTCCATAAAAACATCTCCAACCAACTCAGCTATGATAATATTTTGCTAATTTGAAGCTACAGCAGACCTTCTGCCCTGGGTCACGGATCAAGTTGTGGTCTTGCTTTATTTCACAGATGCCCACACGAAGGTCTTGCTGATGCGCAGGTCTCTAGGCAGAAGCTTCAGAGCTGGGGGACACTTTCAAGGAAACGGTCCTACATGCTCTCTCAGGTGTACCTTGTGCTGCTCTGACTGCTATGATTGGTTACATTGGGAGAACTGTGTAAGGGTGGTCTGCCCTCTTCTGCTTTCTGAGGGCCACTGCTTCCAGTCCCCACTTTCCCCATTCCTTTATTCTTAGTCCTTCACATCACTACAGAGATGTCCCTATTAGCTCCTTTCTAAAGGATGGTTCTGACCCTGCTGTAACAGCTCCTTCTGTGTTCACCTCCCACCATTCGCCCAGCAGCATGGACAGCCTCTCATTTGGCACCTACTCTCTTTCTGCCCAGATTTCCCCAACAGCAGAGAAGTGATAACTGGTCAGAAATCGAAGCCTACTCAACACACATACTAACAGGTACACATGAGGAATATCGCAAAGTAAAATAATTGACAAGGAAAGTTACCCAAGATATAGCAATTCAGAAAAATGTGGTTAAATGACAGCATGTGTATCCATGGATTTCAATGAAAGGAAATTCTTATGGTGCCCTGACATTAAAAGTATAATAATGGAAAACTATGAAGAACTCAATGCTGACAAATTTGATAACTTAGATGAAATGGGCCAATTTAGAAAGACATAAAACGACCAAAACTTACACAAGGAGAAACAGATAATCAGAATACCCCTATATCTATTAAAGGAATTAAATCAATGATTTATAACTTTCCAAAGAAGAATACACCAGGCCCAGATATTTCATTCGTTAATTGTACCAAATAGTAAGTATTCAATACTAAATATTAAAAAGAAATAGTGCCAATTCTTGAGGAATTTGACTTGATTAAAAAGCCCACTGAAAGAGCTCTCAGTGGCCAAAGTGGAGTAATTGGAACTATAAAGGAAGGAAAGAAGGGAGGTAGAGAGAGGAAGGAAGGAAGAATTGGATTAGTTTTCAAAGTATAAAATAAGTATTAATAAGCCCATATGATATGAATGAATGATTGATTAAGTAAATTGATGAGGGAGAATAGACAACTCTCATCCAGAAGAATTCCCAATTATTTACATAGGTGCTCCCCTCTTGAGGTAGAGAACGACTTCTCCTAAGTGCAGGCTGTGTGTAATGAGTACGGTCCGGAAAGGGGTTAAGAGAACTTGATAAACACTTCCTCAGCCAGGCAATCCAGTTTAACGTCACCAGTGACGTCATGTTGATAGCATGTGCTCTTGACGTGATGTGGTGCAAAGGGCACATCACCTCTGTGGTCTTCCTCTCTGAACCCATAACCCCTGCGTGATAAGGAGAAAACACCAGATAAAGCCCAAATGTGTATATCTACAAAACAGCTGGCCAGCGTGCCTCAAAATTTTCAAGGTCATCAAAACAAGAAAAGCTTGACAAACTGTCTCGGCCAAGAGGAGTCTAAAGAGACATAATGACTAAATGTGATGTTATGTCCTGGATGAGATACTGGGACAGAGAAAAGGACCCTGGGTAGAATCTAAGGAAATGTGAATAAAGTGTGGACTGGTTAATAACAACACATTCATACTGGTACCTTAATTGCGAAAGAGGTAACATAGTAATGTGAGCCATTAGTAATAGTGGAATTGGTTGCATGGAGTATACAGGTCCTCCTGTACTCTTTTCACAATTTTTTTCCAAATCTAAAACTGTTCTAAAATTAAAAAGTTTGTTACCAAAAAAATGCTTAAGGTGTGGGGCTCAAAGTAACATCTACATTTTTAACTAGCAATAATTTTGTAAACAAAATTATAAAACGACAAAGGTGGAGAGAGCAAGAGATTGAGAGAATTGAAGGACATGTGCTAAAACAATAATACTGCTTATCTCAAGTTGGTGAAACACAAGTAACCCATGTTTCTTTTAAGTTGCATACACTCTGAAATTTTGAATGTTGAGCATGTATTACTTTCATCATGAAAAGTTTATTTCAAAAGAGAAAGGAAAAAGAGTTCCCCTGATGAAGTCACAACTGTAGGACATTGGAGATTAAATGTGCTTTTGGTAAAAAGAAAGAAAAGACTCAATCTCTAGATTTAAAGTTCATGAGAATAAAACATTGAATTGCACTCCTTTACCCCCTGAGGATGGAGTAAGAAGGAAAAGATTTCTTTTGTAACAACAAAGATCTATTTTTGAGGCAAGGCAGCACCCTCAGGACCAACGGTTGTGAGATACTGGATTTGACTTTTACAAAGTCTAGCCAATTGCCTTCTCCGGGATGGAGTCCATGTATCTGGAAAAGATAGGAAATACGTCTTTTAATGTAACAGCCTCAAGTAGAACTTTTTGCTAGTTAGAAGACATACTCAAAGTCCACCTTACACAGAATCCTCTGTGATCCAGCATGACAGCTTGTAAACCATTTGACATGGATTCTGGCTGTATTGGCTAGAATCCTGAGTTCACCCAGTACATGGAATCATAGTCTCATGGTGGGGAAAGGGCGAGCTGAACAGTCGGTGGGGAGAACATTCCAAGAGGTGCTGAGAGCAGGCCTCTTTTCTGCCCTGCCCCATGCACCCAGGAGGCAATCCATAACAATGCTTGCTAGCTAAATAATTACTACACTTGGCCTTAAGAAAAGCTGGCCATAAATCCAAGGATGGAAGGAGAAAGCAGTTGAGGTGTCCCTCTTGGGCAACTGCAGCTCATTGACCATGACTCCTGGAGGGCAGTCCTTTCCTCTCAATGCAGTCATGTACTGGACTCTGTGGGTACCCTGGTCCCTTTGGCACTTGCTATCTCCTCCTTAGTTGTTTTATAATTTTGCTATAAAATTATTCAAAAAAACCATCATCTTTAGGTCCTGGAGGTATGTCCACTCAGAGGCTCCATTTCTCCCCAACTCTCATGCTCCTGTGGCCCACATGCTCCTGTGGCCGCCCTTTCTTAAAGGCCATTGTTATCTGTATTTGTTCTTCTTTTCCTCAAAAAACGCTTGCCTGTCAATTGTCATAATGGAGGACCTTACTTTCCTGCTTCTGTTTTAAATTGCCACCCTGAATATCCAGATGCTCATGAAGGATTTCCTTCATCCCCACTTCTTAATATCCATTCCCTTTGCCTTTGCATTCATTTTTCTTCATCGTACTTAGAGAAAGTAGCCACAAAGAAATCACAAACTGCATTCAG